TTTTTCTGTTGATTTTTCCATTATATCTTTTCCTCACTTCCAGATACCAGAATTATGCCCTACTAACCAGAATTCAACCAGGTCCCTATCCCTTGTGGGTTGGATAAGCATAAGCAACCTGTGGTCTCTAGTCTTCAATTTCTATATATTTAAAGCAGGAATAATAATAGTAATAACAATAATAGCAGCAACAATAATAATAATAAAAACAATACAAACAGGCCTGAGTGCCAGCATAGGCCGATAATACAGCCATTTGGTAGGAGGATCACAAGTTTGTGACCAACCTGAATAACTTAGCAAGACCCTGTCTCAAAATAAAATAAAAAGGCCTGAGTGGTAGATTGCTTGCTTTGCATGTGGAAAACCCTGAGTTCAATCCCCAGTACTGAAAACAAAAATTGCCAATATGTATTTTGGACAAACTTTTAGACGCATTTATTGATATGATACAATTGACAAGCCTAGAAAATGCCTGGCATAAAATAAAAATAAACTACACACAGAAACACACATTCACAACTATTATGCCCATTTGAGAAGGTCTGAAATGGTCTCATATTTTTACATAGAAATTGCTTGAAGGTAATGCTCAAAATAAGCACATATTTTCCCAACTGGCAATCATATCATTACTTGGAAAAAATGTACAAAATTTTATCAAATCTTGTTCCCCGTGTCCTGGTTCCAAACAGGAGGACTACAAGTGGAATGAAGGTCTGTTTTAAATCAATGCAGTGTTGTTTGGCTATCCATCTTGAAGGATTATTCTACCTAATCACAATACATGAGCAACTTGCACCGTTGCTCAAGTGTCTTGGGATGCATCTTACGCTAAATTTAGTTGAATTATTTGCTATATATTCCCTTCATATCCTTGTACTACCTATTTCATAATGTTCATCACACTCATTTGTTTAGTTTTTGCTTTCCACACTAAACTGAAAGGTAAATACCAGGAGGCACCTTGTGTTTCTTGATTGCAACTATATCTCAAACTTTTACACACTGCCTAATACACAGTGGAAACTTCCTCAGTATTTGTGATAAAGAGAGATTGTATATTCTTTTTTGCCTTTAGCAACATGTAACTTCAATTACATCTACATTTCACATATACTACCCCCAAGAATCCATAACTCTAAACTCAAAAATTAGAAAGTGCACTTAAAAACGAATTTAGTCAAGTAAGAAAGAAGCTTCCAATGTAAAGTTTGATTTTTAAAAAAAGTAAAATGTGAGAGAAGGTGTTGATTTATATCTAAGCCCTATGCAAAGCAGAAAAAAAATTTTCTGTCTAGAGGTGCAACTTTTTCTAAGAGTATGTGTGGGAGCACAAAGAAAGAGATAGAAGTGAAAAAAGATAAGAAGACAAATGAAGAAACCAAAAGGGTAAAAGCAAGAGCAGAATTATACATGAGACAGCAAATAGCTAATATGTGGTAGTGGACAACAATACTGGTCACAGAGGAATCAGTTGCATAGCCTGCATAAGAAGAATACATATCAACTTCATTAGCTGCTCAGGATTTTGAAAGACAGCCAGCCAACAGTCCAACACAGGTAATGCTGAAACTGAACAGCAGTACAAAAGCAAGAGAAACTTTTATAGCTTTGTGTCTCCCCTGGATATGCATCACAGTTCAGAAAATGAGGTTGGCATTTGCTGCAATTTTACAGTTGATAAAGCCAGGCATGGTGGGGCACTCCTGTCATCCTAGTGACTTGGGAGGCTAAGGCAGAAGGATCACAAGTTCAAAGCCAATCTCAGCAACTTAGTGAGGCCCTAAGCAATTTAGCAAGACCCTGTCTCCAAATAAAAATAAAAAGAGTGAGGGATATGGTTCAGTGGTTAAGTGACCCTGGTTTCAATCCCTGATACCTAAAAATGAAAATAAAATAAAAATATGATCATGCTATAAAAGTCAGTACTTTTCTATTAAGAAACTGTCTCTCATGCAGAACCATTTTTATTCATGGCTTCAGAAAATCAAAATTTTTATCATCTCTCTCTCTCTCTTAATTGTTTTGTAAAACTTCAAACTTGTCTGTAATTTGCCTACCAGCTAGTTCCTGTTTTCCTAGCCTGCTCTTAAAATGATTTCTTAAATCTACTTTGTGGTCTACCAAAGTGAAAATGGTTTCTGTGATTATTTTAGACTTTAATTTAGAAAATAAATAAACAAACTTCATATTTTCTTCCTGCAAGCTAACTATACCTTCAGATACAGTTTTATTTGCTGGAAATATTGGGGAAAAAAATACAAAATTTAGTGGTAAACTATTTTATAAAGAAAAGCTTGGTATTACTCTAGTTGAGAAGCATGGTGACATTCAGAATACTCTTTTGAAACATGAAAACTAATTTTTGTTAAAATCAACAAATATAATCATAGGAAGCAAACTTTTATGTGTTTGAATGGTACTAACTAAAGGATTGAAGAAATGTTTCCTTTTGTCAATATTGCCCTCTAGTGGAATAATGGGGTACAAAAAGAGCATGGTTTTGTGGAGTTGGGTGCATCCTTAATTTACTGCATAATAGAACATTTGTACAAGAGCAGATTTATGTATATTTTTTTCATTAGATGTCCCTGAAGCATAAACATAATGAACTATTGATTATGTTAGTCGGCAATGCATTTCAATAAATTTTCTTATCTGAAATAATGCATTGTGGAAGAACTATGGGCAAACTCCTGCACATCTTAGCCACAATAAAAGATCAGAACCCCAAAATATGTACAATGTGCCATAAAAAGAAATATTGCTACAGTATAACTGTATTGATTTATTCTTCATTCTGTCAATGGCAGGCAAAATAAAGGGGAGGGAATCCAATCTTTTTCAGTAATTTACAACATTTGGTTTATGTGTAATAAGTTTATGATGACAGATTGTAAAAATTTTCACAGGGCTTTCAGTTTGAAGGTAAAGCTAGTGAATACTTCCCTGTGGGCCAGCGGGGGAGGCCACTCTACTGCACATTTTAAACAACTGTATTGATATAATTGAAATGGCACCTTTTCCCCTTTAAGAATCAAATTTCACAAAAAGTGCCTTGTAACATTAAGAATTTAAATTTCCTTGGGGGGAGGGTGATAAAGAAGAAAATTCACCATAACCTATTGAGCTTATTGAGCTTTAGAAATTGAGGTAGAAAAATTTGCAGTGTTGGGTTCCTTCTTTTCTGACCCTTCAAAAATTATTGTTGAGGGGTGCAAAAGGAGTCCCAAACCCTTAATTAAAAGATATACTCATTAAATCAATTGGCACTCTAGAAAAAGAAGAAAAACGTGTGAATGTAAATACTTTATATATTTACCCCCTGCTTGGATTACTCAAGTTCGATACATTATATGATCCTCATTATAGAGAACCAAGTGCTTCCTAAGCTCATTTACTTTCCCAGATTCTATACTTCATAATTTATAAAGGAAGTCTTCTTTTTCATAGAAAAGGTTGTGAATACCACACGTCAAAAGGAAATGATATCTTTTATTTTTCAGGTTTGCTTACCATTCAAGATCTCTTTCTTATTAGTATCTGCAGGCTTATTCATATTCACAACTCAGAAGTTGACTCTGTTGTGAGCATAAAAGGAATCTCTTGTTTGATTGTAAGAGATAATTATCTTGACCTTTTTGCACAAAAAGAAGTTTACAGTTGGTTATTTTTTTGTGTTTCCAATTTATATTATACAGTAAAACCTTTGTGTCTGGACACATATCAAAGACTATGTAGAATGTAGAGTGTCTACTTTTTAATTTAATAGCAAACAAATGAAAGGAAGAATAGATAATTAATAATTTTAGCTTTGTGCCTAAATTTGTTTGACCTAAAATACCCCAAACACTACATGCATAATAAGTATTTAAAAATAAACCACTCATTTTAATAAACATTATTTATTGAGAAAAAAATGATATTTAATCCTCTCTAAATGATAAAGTGGTCCTGAAAAAAATGGTCAGGCTCCATTTATGGAAGTTGATTATTTATTTTAGCTCTGATGTATGAATAGATTAATTCAGGCAAAGTCACTAACCTAATCTGTGGATCATTGTTTTTACCTGTCAAATGTCAGTTAAGTGATACAAATACAGGGACAATTTTTCTTGAGTTACCACAGCATCCCAAGGACTGGCTTATAAAAAGTGAGAAGCTCTTGATAAATATTTTAATGAGGAATGTTACATGAATAATATGGCCCATGTGTTACCAAATTGAGAAAATAAAATTATACGTATATGTATATATACATATATATACATATATGTGTGTGTGTGTGTGTGTATATATATATATATATATATATATATACACACACATACACATATATATGTTGTTATGAAAATTTTTAATAAACAGTTTTCTTTCTGTAAATATATGTAATTTCAAATGCCATTATTGGAGTGTGCTACAGGAAAAACCTTCTTTATATCATTTTATATTTATAGGAATGAAATAAGGGGAATCAAAAGATATTTCACAGTTTGTGAAATGCTATAATTATAACATTACAATAAGTATATAAAATAATTTACAGTTGCTACAGAAACATATAAAGAATTTTTTTTAAATCAACAACAAATCAAATTAAGAAACCACCTTTACTTGTACTGTCTCATAGGATGTTACTTTATAAGAAATTAGATTTTGTCTTGTTATCCAAGATTAAAACATTACATCCTATTTTGAAAAGTATCTTACAGAAAATTTCAAGCATATTTTAGCCTCTAAAAGATGTATTTTGGGTGGGTGACAGAATGTTTACTCCAATGGAATGGCCTTCCATGGGTATCACACACATTAATATTGCAAAGGAATTCTGGCTATTTCCTCTGGGGTATCAGTCTTAAAAGAGTAATGGAATTGAGAGGATAGAAGGTTGACAGTGGCAAATGAGGTGTGTGATATGAAGAGCTGGAGTCAATCTAGTCACTGTGCCCCTAACCCGATTTCTACCGAAGCACTAAACTCTTAATTTTGTTTTCCAGGATATGAATGATTATCCTCCTGTATTTAGTAAACGAATCTACAAAGGGATGGTGGCTCCAGATGCAGTCAAGGGTACACCTATCACTACAGTTTATGCTGAAGATGGAGACCCTCCTGTAAGTAGAAGATATCAATGAATTCTCTGAGCTATAGGAGGAAAATTCTTAACACCCATGAGTAATCTGGTTCCCAATACAGCAAACACAGTCCAACAGAGTTTCATTCTCATCCATTTATATCCTCTTGTTTATTGCATGCACAGTTTCAGACCATATTTCAAATGATTATTACTGAATATAGACAATTAGGGATATGCGTTTTTTGCAAACTTTTAAAATTCATTATGTGTCTATTTGTCTAGCACTAATAAAAATATATGTGAAAAGAATTGCCTGTATTTGAAATCACTGTCATTTGGATCCTTTATTTAGAACAGTGCATGCTTAGTTTAGTATGAATAGATTTTAGACTCATTTTTTTTTCATTTATATGTACATGACTATTCTGTTAAAAAATTCTAAATCAATGTATAACATAAAAACTTATATTGAATGTGTTTGTTTTGGTAAGCTAAAATCTCAATATTGCTTTTGGAACATGTTTAATAGATTATTTTATCATATAGAACTTTACCTCTTTTAAGATATTTTAAATTATCATTCAAGACTGAAGGTGTTCAACTAAAATATTATTAGAATTATTAGCATATGTGATATAAATTTTCTTCAATTACATTTCTTTATGGCATTTAAGATAAAAGTATTAATAATGCCTGCATAAGAATGATTTCTCTAAACACCTAGGGTATTTTATAAATATTTTATGTTCTCATAAGAGCAGAATGGTGAAGATTTAAATTTTTACTTTGAGTTAGCTCATGCTATAAGTCAATGTCTAACTGATTCTAAAAATATACGTAACAAATTAACCATATTTGGAAAGAAAAAATTTGAAAACCTGAATTATTGAAACGACTTATAACCTTGTTTTCTATTGCTAATATAAAGAGTGTTTCTGTAATGCTTTCTATTTAATAAAAGGTGAATGGCAGTCATAATATTTTTCAGCTTCAATTGTGACAAGCCGTATAAAGTCTATTGTGACTATAAGGCCTTGAAAAATAATGTTAACATGAAAGCAATGACCTTTAACTCAGAAGTTCCTTTGCTAGATAATGCTAAAATGTTTTTGAAACTGATTTATCACATCTAGAGAAATATGATAGGCACAATTTCATAGTCTTGAACACACCAATAGAGATGGTGAATGGGAAATTGGTGTTTAATCTGCTTTTAAAGCAAACTGTCATCGATGCAGAATACTTTGAAATTAGTGAAATGCATTCAGTTCAGTTCTATTTGACACATATTTTGAACTGTATACTTGTCACTGTGCTAACCAGTTTTTGTTCTCAAGAAACTGACAATCTTGCAGGAAAGACAGAACTACAAATAGAAAATATAACATATTATTACAAAGTAAGTATAAGTAAACATGTTATTTTAACATGCTCATTTCTGAAAACGTACTATTAATTCGAAGTTTAAGTTGGAATTAAAATTAGTAGCACTATTGATGGGTGACTCCAAATGATGATTTTTTTTATGTTAAATGTCATTTAATTTTCAGCCCTAAAGTGGCCAAATTAAGATGTTTTGAGAATAAAACAAAGCCAAGTTTAGGATGACCTGGAACATTTTATCAATACTGGAAAGCATAGAAATAACCATTAAATTTTTCATCTATTTAATTGTTCAAGTGTTTTATAGCAGCCATTAAGTAGAAGGCATAGAGTTAGAACACACCTATTTGGGACAGATCTCAAAGTCAGAAAAGATGACAAACCTTTACTTTCCTTTTGGTGCATGTTACTTTTGTACCTGGCTTGCCATCAAGATCACATCCATCAGTGTCAAAGAGGCTGGAAAAAGTTTATCCTTGCATTCCAAGTACTGTGGCAGATTTTACACTTAATATCTGATGTTGACTTTTCAATAGATAAAAGGTGGATACAAGTCATTCTATCAGAATATTGATTGTACTTCTTACAAAGTATACATTTCTCAGATTTAGTTCAGATCCCTGAAACAATAACAGTCTTTAGTATAAGTATTATTCAAAATTGAGGTTTTGAATCATTTCTGCAAATTGGATCCCTTGAATTGGTATAGTCACAATTTGCCTTCACCCCCACCAATCTGCAATAAAAATTCAAATCCAAAACCATTTTCAGAAGATAACTACTGTATTACATAATTTCAAAAATATTATGATTGACTTTTATGCTTTTCATTTCATGTTTGTGGCAGGAAGACAGAAGAAGTATTTTAAGGTATCACAATGCTTCAGAAATAATAATTTTCATTTCTAGAGATTGACCACATCTTTTTCAAAGCCTCCTGTTTCTTGTGAACAAAATGAGAACCACCCATTTAAAACTAGGTAATAGCAACAACAAAACCCTTTGAAGTATCAGATGGAAAAACTAGGTATGGTCTCAAAGTTAGAGACAGCATTACTGCTGAATATAAATTAAGCCTTTTAAAATGCATCTTGTACAAAACAAAAGTGCTCTAGAAGAAGAAAAACAAAATATTCCAGGGAATTGTTTCCCCCACTGAACTAAAGCTGTTAGGAGTTCTTTTTTCTTGCTTGCTTTTTTGAGAGGGTGGACATTAATTCACATGAGATGTGAGTTGTCACTTAAGGCTTAGGGTTGTGGCTCAGTGGTAGGGAACTTGCCTAGCACATGTGATCTGGGTTTGATTCTCAGTACCACATAAAAAAATAATAAAGTTATTTAAAAAAGATTTCTTACTTCAAACTATCATAAACATATCTGCAAGTGAAATTTCCATTTGAATTTCTTAAATTCTTTCTGAAACCTCAGGTCAAACTTTAACACATAGGAGTTCCATTTATTGAACAGGGATAAAATCCCTGAAGATCATTGTCTTTTTTTGAATATGTAGACATAGAATGACTCAAATAAATGAAGTTCATTTTTTGCTCATTTTCAAGGAGGAAACTACAGGCCAGGCAGTGATGCACACCTATATTTCTAAAGATTGGGAAGATATTTTACTTTTTTCTGTCCCAAAATAAAATAAATAAATAAAAATGACTGGAGGTGGAACATGGTGATAGAACATGTGATAAAGCATCCCTGGGTTTAATCTCTAGTACCAATAAAAGAAAAGAAAAGCAAACATAACAAACAAACCAGAAATGAACTGTAGGAAAACCACAAAGACTGTATTTCTTATTGTTAGACTGTTCTTTCCATAGAAGCATTTTAAGAACTTTTAAGACTCTTGTTTAAGTAAGACAATAATTGAAACATGTTTAATATTAGCAAGCTTTGCAATTTCTTACTTGTATAATATCATATTGTAAAAATTATGTAGAATTTTAGACTTCTTTTTTCAGGATTTGATATTGACTTATGAAGTAAATATATGCCATAAAAATAGATCATGTTAGTTCTCAATAGTAATTGCATTTAAAATCATTCCCAAATATGAGTATTCTCACTATTTAAAAATATGTGTTTATAAAGAAAAAAATAACTCCAAGTGTGAGATATTTTCTTTCCATCTTTTGAGTTACTGACACTTAGCCTTTCTGAGTTCAGACAAGCTACACGAGGAATTATTTGCAATGTGTTTTCACAGGTGTCTTTAACACCCATCTCAATCATTCAAGAATAGTTTTGCCAAGAGCAAAAAAGATAGCCAGTTTTTGTTCTATGATGCATACCTATGTTTTATTAAAGTGTCATGATGTCATCAGTGAATGCCAGTTAATTATAGTCATCTCAAGAATGCTTAACCCTTCAAATAGTCATCCTGTCAAAACTTATTGACAGAGAGTGTAACAGCTCGAGAAAAGCAATAATCATCTTTATCCATAATTTGCTGCTTGCTTGCTTTGTGAGAAATAGTGGATGTTATCCAGGGTCCAAAATGTTGTAAAACTGTACTGCCATTTCTCAATAGTATGGCTTGTCTGCATCGTTTTCCTTTGTTGTCTTAACTGACCTACTTTTCATCACTCACCATCTACCAGCTAGTGTTGTTATGCTGTATGGATTCAGGTTATTGCTAGTAATGTACCAGATCTTCTGGTTTTAAGACCAACATCTACTAACTATGATTGCTGACCCTGGAACATGAGAAGGAAATGTACACAGCTCAGTGGTTCTTTTCCTTCACATCAAAGCTAAACAGGGAAATAATCAGGAACTGTTTTCACAGTGAATGTCAGCTTGTGAAAACTGAGAAGATATAGCCCCAGACCTGAATCCCTTTGGTCTCAAATACTTAATTAGAAAGAAAGTACACCATGAAACAGTTAGGGCTTGATCTTTAAAATGACAATGGCTTATAATTAGATTTGAAAGTGTAAATGGGTACAAAGGGGAAGGTTTTATGAGAAAATGTAAGCTTGGTTAGTGTCTAGAAAAAGCTTATCTATGCACTTTAAGGATCTGTCATTTGTTTCCCTTGTGTGGCATATATCATGTTCTATAGCATTATAATTATATTATGTAATTCATGCCACAAAACATATATTGCTACATTGCTACACATATTAATTACATTGTTAATATTACTGAAGATCAGTATGAGAATTAACTGTTTCAGATATAAATATTATTATTCTCATTTAGAAACTGCCATACTTACCAAGGTTAAAGATGCATTTTTCTTTTATTATAAATTGAAATGTATATGAAGCTTGCTCATTTTGAATTTTGCAAGAGCACTGCTCTGTAACTCATGACATATTAAGAATTTTCATTTTTTTCCAATGGGAATAAATTTCATGGGATTAGAGGGTTACAATACAAGTCAAATTTCCATTGGTAATTAAGTGAAATAAAGTTTTGTGGAGCTCACTCATAGTTCTCTTTTTTGGATTAATTGATGTGATCTTGTTAAAAATTCTTGTCAGAAGAAATGGAAACTGACCTCACTGAAAAGGTATCTTGTTTTTTCTGGTTTGGATTCTAGGTCTTAACACACTTTAAAATAAACCTTTGGTAACCCTTGTGCCTACTGTTATCTACAGTTCTTCTGTTTTTTGGAGTTTTGCTGTGTTTAGGCAGTAGACT